CAGCAGAGGCTGCGCTCAGCTCAATCCGCTCCCTTTCGCAGGCGCTCAGGAGCCTTGTTGTGCCTCAACACACCAATCCTACGCAGGTTCCCGAAGAGGTGTAGGAAGTTGGCAGTCACACCCTGCCCTCAGCCTCCTCCCTGCAGCCCCTCTCCTTTCATACGTGCTCCGTCACTGGATTTTCCCTGGGAGAGGCTACAGCACCCGTGTTTCTTGGAATTGAGTGGCTTTAAATCTCAAAACAGAAAGCAAAGTGCACTAAATTTAGGGAGACTTTTTGCCCTACCTCCAGGAATATTTAACACACCAGGTGTGAGAGGCAAAGGCTTTCTCGTGTTCGGGTTGAACTAGTGCATATTTGACATTGTTACTGATATGGTCGGCTAATTCCCTGCTTCCCAGCATCCCTCTCGTGGCCCCCACATCTGCTCCCCTGGAGGGTCCACACTCTGCTAGGGGGCCCTACAGATGATGGAGAGCAGAAGAGGCAGCACTGTGTGGGGGGAAGAGGCAGGAATGTAATACATTTTGTGAAGGAAAACAAGTAAAGACAACAGAGGAATAAAAGGAAAATAGCTGTCAGAAATAAAAACCCTTTCAGCAGAGGAATGAAGACAGATGGGAAGGCAAAGAGAAACAGTGAACAAAGAAAGAAATGCAGAGAAGTCAAGGAGAGGTTGGGGGAAGGCTGTGCAATCATTTGGCACCAGCTCCTTGCATTAGTTCCCTGAATATTGTGTGAAGCGGGGGTAGAGAACTGCGGATTACTGGAGTGTAGCACCACAATATCGTGGGCTGGCCACTAAATTACCATTCAGAGAGTCTCTTGGCTTAGCCTCGCTGCTGCCATGAGAAGGAGCAGGATGTAAGCTGAAAAACAGATCTATGGAAAATAGGGTTGAGGCTAGAAATTCCATTATATTCTTGGCACTTTGACATTTTTCCTCCCCTTTTGTGAAATCTCAAGGGAGCGCTGCCTACTCTTGCAATAATAATAATTAAAAAAAAAAAAAGGTAGCATATGAGTTGGCATGGTAACTTCATCTGCTAAGTAACTAACATGTAGGATTTGCTTCTTGATCTAGAATAATAATGTCAACAGCCCCCAGGAAGATGCTTCCTTGTGACTGACTGCCTATTGTCACCTGGATTTCATGCTTCGCTCTCGCTCGGTGCCCTTGGTGAGACTCGCTGTGGTGCAGGGACAGACCTGTGCTGCTCTGACACCAGACACACATTTGCTGCCTTCCTATGTTACACCCTTCAGGCCAGCAGTATTTGGACATGTCCACATGCTGGTTTACATTTAATCACTGTTATTCTTATTCCTGAAAGGCCAAAATGTTTCAAATGTGCCCATGCTGGGACCATTGGGCTGCTGCCGACCATGGGCACCAGTAGCTCCCAGCAACTCCTGCTTCTGAGCCTTCCCTGCCCATGGGAACAGGCCAGGAGGTTCCAGTGCTCCTGCTGAGCCTCCCTGGGCAGGACAGATGTCCTCAGAGTGATGCTGGCCAAACAATTCTTCCTTTAGTGCCTCCAGATGGGGCATGTGCACTGCTACCCTGGAGAGCCGAGGTATGGAGAGCTCAGTGGAAGCAGCAGCAACACAGGGAACAGAAGAAGTGGAAAACACTTCTTGTTGCCATTTTCAAAAGATGGAAAAAAAAAAAAAAGGAAAAGAAAAAGAGAAAGCAGCCTGATACTTTATTTTGCCCATGTTTGTGGCTGAGGATTAGCTGTATGGTTGGACTCCACACACCTATGCCCCTCTGCTCCTTCACCCTGAGCAGGTTCTCCCAGACAAACATGTATAAAATGCCCAGTGCAAAGAAAAAGGGTTGCCTGTGAGGAGTGGGAGTGGTGAGACCCTAGACCAAAATGGAATTGCTCGTTTTCTTTCTGTGTTTTTATGTCCCTGCAGATGGCTTTCCTTCTGGGCTTGTGAGGGGACTGTGACCATCCTGGCCCAGGAGCTGGGGTCAGCTGCAGTTGTCTTCATCAGGGCCCAGGGAAGAAAGATAAGGGCCAGGGTATCATCCAGAGAAAACTTTGCATTCTGTGGCATGGCTGCTCCTGGGAGCTGGCTTCTCTTCTCACTTCTTGTTTTAGATTCCTGCATCCTTCAGCTCTTCCTTTTCATGGGTCCCACGTAGTTTATTTTTGTCCCAATGTACAGACACTGTCATACTGGTGTAAAGACGACTTGGATCAGGGTGGCTTGATTTAAAACCCACAAATCTGGCAATAACACTCCTGGCCATAGGTCCATCCAGCCCAGCATCCTGTTTCTGAAGGGCATCATAAATGGGTGTGCAGAGAAAAGCAAGAAGAAAACAGATACTCCTGCAGCCTCCAACCATTTTCAGCTCAGGGCTTCCTGAGCTAAACATGGTTTGCAGTGTGCATGTAGCAACATTCTGTAGGTTCCTTTCCCAGGAACCTCTCCTGCTTCCTCCTGAATGCATGCAGACTTTTAGCATGCAAAACATCATCAGCAAGGGATCCCATAAGGCCATCTGCTCTCTGAAGAACAACTTGCTTTTGCTTGTTTTGAAGCTGGGCTTCACTGTGAAGCAGCCTTCAATTTCTGCCCCTAATTCCTGTACTGGAAGAGACAGAGAATATTTCCTTCAGTGTACAGGAGAAAATGGTTTCAAAAGACACCTATAAAATACTGTGTGGCCTGAACAGTGAGCTGTACTGCCCCAGTGCCACTGATTTCAGTTCAGTGCAGCCAAGCAGCACCAAGCAGGTCGCATGCCAGCCCTGTGTGCTCTCCACAGCCTCTGCAGGCTCCATCCTTGGTGATAAATTAACACAACTGCAAAAAAGACAAGTTGTAGGATATCCAAACCCTTTCTGGGCCATAATTTGTCCAGTTGTTCCAACATATCAGCTGTTACAATATAAGATAAAACCTTCCTGCACTCCTTACCTCACTTAGCCTGGGTCTGCCACTGCCTTAGCACAGCTGCATGTTACCAACAGTGGGCTGGCTCTGTAGTCCCAAAGAGAGCATGGTGAGTGCAGAGATACCTGAATGAGTTTTGAATGAGTGAACTCTGTTCCTGTTAGCATGGCCAGCAGCTAACCCCACCAGGCTGCAGTGTCCTTGAGCCCTTGTGTTTCTGCCTGGCACAGCTCCCAATGCACCTGGGTTGGGGAGCTGCTTCCCAGGGGATTCCACTGATGCCCAGCTCTGCTCTGCCCTTTCAGGGCTGGTCCAGACCCAGTGGGTCCTCGTCCACACACCATCACTGAGGTTCTGCTGCAGGGCAATTCACCCTCAGCATCTTGTTGGGGAGGGTGGCTTCATCCATGAGGATATTTGGTGTTTTCCAAGTGTGGGCCCATGCCTCCCTGCAGGCATCTTTTAAATGTGAGGGATGTCTGCTTTGAAGATTTTTGTAGCACACAAAGCAATTTAAAACCGCTGAGTGCTAACCTCCTCAAAGGAAGATTTATAAATATTTGCATCCAGCTCTCAGTGGCACAATAAAAATATATTGTACTTTAGATAAATGCTTTGCCTAGAGGAGTCCCAATAAAGTCAATGATCTTTTTTGTTTGTTTGTTTGCTTTAAGTGAGCAACAAGCTCTAAGGACCTTTATTTCCTTCACTGATCAATGATTTAGAAATATTCCTCAGTGCAATCTCTTCCCTGAAGAGCTCCCTTATTCTTTCTATCCGCGCTGGAGAAACAGGCTATCAAAAGCCAACAGCAGATACCTCATAAACATTTTACTTACTTTTTATAGTATCTGAAGCAAGCGTGAGGCACCCAGGGCTCTCTGAGAGTTGTTTCAAGGTTTCCAGAAGAGCTTTGTGAATGCAGGATGATGGGGCTGTGTTTATACCTTGTGTGGGTGGCAAACCCTCGGGTACCTGCCTCCTCCCCAGCGGGGTCAGTGAGGTGCTCCTGTGCTGCGACGGAGCAGCGACACACGGCCAGCAGAGCCAGGGTCCAGCAGCACCGCTGTGGGAAGTGGTGAGCACAAGTGGGGAATGGCCGTGGGACACTGCTGGCAGACTGGCACGGATTCGGCACCCTGGAGAGCAACGTGGGCCTGGAACAGAGGGGTGGAGAGCGTGCTTTGTGTTCCTTGGTGAGGATCACGCTGTAACGCAAGGGAAACAGCCATGCCTTGTTTGTACGGGGCCGCCTCCCGCGCTCCGTGCGATCCCGGCGCGGCGCTGGGCTCGGTGTGTCAGCGCAGGCACCACGCACCCTCACCGGTGACTCAGGGATGCTGGGGGAGGCAAACAAAAGGAAGCTCGACTCTGTTCCGTGATTTTTTTCCCTTCTACGAGGCAGGAAAGAGGCCGCAGGCAAGGAGGCTGTGCCCAAAGCCCCAGCGCTGCCGAGGGAGGGGGTCAGGGAGGTGTCAGACCCTGGGGATGGAGACAGGGTGCTGGTGGGGTGTTCTGGCAGGCATTTCTGCTGTGCAGGTACCCTGTGAAACAGCGCTGCCAAGGGGCTGTACATCTCGTTTTGTCTGAGCAAGAAATCATCCTTCTCTTTGTATGGAGCACCTGTAAAAAACGAGAGTGTAACTGGCAGTGGGCAGCAAAGAGCCCCACTGAGCAGGAGTCATTAAAGCCACATTATTTTTGGAAGGTGAGAAGTGATATAGAGCAGGTGAAATCCCTTCACAATTTTTTTTGTGTGGTGTCACTAAGAGCACCTTAAAGTTATTATTTAATTGGTGCTATTGATAAGTAAATACTTCTGATCAGTTGATGGTTTACAACTGAAACATGTGAGCCAACAAAAATCTTAAACTATGGTGGATGGTGGCACTGCTGTTTTTGCCACAGCTATGCACAGTAATTTGTAAAGCAAACCAACAGAGAGGCATCTCTGATTATTTTATGCTCTGTGATAGTGTAAGAGTGAGGTGAATTGTGATGCTGCTTATTTTCTTGTGGGTGATGCTTCTTGGACGTTCTGGAGATCAGAAGGATTCTTCTCTGACCTTCTGTAAGGGCAGGAGGAGCCAGAGGGAAGGGGAACTGAAGCTAAATGCTGTGGGGGAGATGTGTGCATAAAGATGCTGAAAGCTCTGGTGTGAAAGGGCAGCTGGAAGCGAAGACCTTGGGGTGAGAAAACACGATTTTCTATTTTGCTTTGTGTTAGGGGCATGAGGATGTTAAAATGTCAGGCTGTGAATGTTTTGGTGCCGGTTCACCCACATGAAAATGAATTTGCTGTAGAATTTTGCTTACTGCTGCCTATATACTTACTTTGGAGTTAATTTCAGAGTGACTACTTCTTCTTTTCCTCAAACCAAATGTTTTGCCAAAGATGCTCAGAATGTTCTGTGAATGAGCCCAAGGAACAGATTTCCTGGCTGATAGAAACTGGCAAGGCTCCTCCAAAGTCGGGCAATATTGGGAGACAATAATTTTGGACTGCTACTAAAAAGCTTACAGATCTGTAAACTAGTGCTCTAAGTTGTCTAGCAATATTATTTTGTGAAGTTATATAAGTTTGCAACAGAAAATGTTTTGAAAATTGGCTCTCTTTTCTTTCCTAATGCTATACCAGGAGGCAGAAGTCAAAGCAACATCAATGTTCCAATTCAAAGGCAAAAAGGTGGGTGTTTCAGGATTATATTGAACACTTTACAGACAGATAAAATTAGGCCTTTTCTTAGGCCGTATGAGCAGCTGAAACCCTTTTTATTATGATATAATCAACGCTGAGTGTCATGAGATTGGACACAGAATTGAGGCATCTCAAACCCAAAAGCTGTAATAAGGAGGCTCTATCAGCCCTCAAAGTTCAGCAGCATGTAAGAGCTTTGCTGATAGTGAAGGGATCACCTTACTTGACATCAGTTTGGTTCTGATGCTCCTGCTGAGCTCCAGCCCATCCTCCTGGTCATCCTGACCCATATCTCACCTGCCAGATGTAGGGTGCAGAGCTTCTCCCTACCAGGCAGTCCTACTGTGGACAAATGCTTTTCATTTTCTCAACCTGTTCCAGCATAAAATCATTGATGTCTTTGCTTTTACATTGCAGCGATGACACTAGGCTGGTTTGCACTTGGGGTTTGCCCAGAGACCCTTTTGCCCAAGTTTTGTAGGACACACCCAAGATGATTCTTCACTCTGCTGCTGCTGGTACAGCTGCATGTGGACCTGTGCACTGTAAGATCTGAGCAGTTTTTGTTGTGCCTGACCACTTTATTCTGAACATCTGCAGCAGGCATTCATGGTAAAAGCTGTTTCACTGCTGTTGGCTGGATTTACCTTTCCTCTAACACTCCAACCTCTGCTTAGTGCACTACTGCTAAAGAGCTGCAGCTTAGTGCTGGAATTCCACTACTGATAGTGGGAAAAAAAACCCAACCAAAACTGCTATCTGCAGTGGATGAAGCTACCAGATTTAGGGAAACTGCTGCAAAGCTAAGTAAATGCATCAGAAACTCTCAAGAATGCTGTTCCTAGGAGGTCCTTTGAGGACAAACTGACTTTTTTCCCCTCTGATTTTAAGATTTTGTTTGCTGCTGGCTGGTTTCAAACTAGGCTGTTGGTATGCTGTTGCATCCTGTTTATCACTCAGGACATAAATGTTGTTAGATAAGCCCAGATCACGGTTCCAAACCTGGAACTGCATTTTCCATGGGAAAGACCAATTCCTTCCAAGGAGTGAGTAGTGGTTCCAGCACAGGGAAAAAGCATTTGGTCTTATTACACAGTAGTAGCACTGAACATTTCTAGATGTCTGCATGGTTCCTCTAGATTTAGATAACTAAATATTTCTAGCTTATCACAAATCTTTAGCCTGAAAGAGAGAAATGGGGAATATAGGAGAGGTCTGTGAAATCACAGGAGGCAATGGGAGAGTTGAATGTGTGAGGGCCATACCCTTTCTCTTGTCAGTGTGAGAACTGCAGACCGTCAAGTGTAATTAACAGGAGGTTGCCTCAGAATGTAAAAGAGGTTAATTGTTTTCCACACAGTTGATCTGTGAATTGCGTTGCCAAGGGATGTAGATGACAGAATTTTACAGGGACTCACAAAGTGAGTAGGTAGTCAAGGAAAATTAAAATCCACTGAAGGCAATTAAATGAGAGGGTGGTTTTCTAGCTCAGTGAAACCTTAAATCCTAGGTGTTTGGGGTGGGAAATGAGAGTGGCACATCTTTGGGGGGAATAAATCACTCTATGCATGCTCCATGCCTGTTTTCTTTCCCTAAATATCTCTTGTTGGCTGCTGTTGGAGCCAGGACATTGGGCTGGATGGACCTTCCCTGTGACTGCTCTGGTGTCAGACAACATCTGCCATGTGAAGGCTCTTTCTGCCCTGTCAAAGGCTTTCCGAGAGCCAGTATGAAATTGTCACATGATAGCTGCTGTTCTTCCATTTGTGTAGATGTGGAAAATATGGTCAGTGGAAGAATAGGACAAAACCCAAGTTGCATTGGAAGCTTGTTCTTGACAGTGTTGTGGGCTTTGCTTAGTGCTGGTTTGCCAGAAGGATTGCCTTGGAACAGGCAACAGCACACTTTCATTCTGATTGTTGCTGTAGATTAAACCTACTGAGGAAATTTTGAATTTCCCCATCCTTGGGGTAGATTCCTTTCCCAGGTTCAGCTGAGGAGATAAATCTTTATTTCAAAGATTTCTCTACATAGCTGCTGAGAGAAAATGGCAGGAGTATAATGTTGTGTTGCTCTCTAAGTCTGTACTTTGTTGGCAATCACTTTGAAATCCTCTAAGGTGATATTTGCTCGTAATATAAGATTCTGCCTTTATGATGATAAAAATGAATTTTGATTCAAGTGATATCTATTCAACATAATGAATTAAAAGTTCTGCTTAAAGTATTCTTTGTCCTTCACAGATAGAGTATTTCCATGTCAGTGGTGATTGAGTGACTGTGGTTACAACTTGGGGTTTGGGAAGGATATCACACACTGCTTTGTGCTTGCCATCTCATGTTCCTGGGCAAAGCTGTCAATAACATTTAGCTTTTTCTCTAACTGATCTTTTGCAGCTTCAATCAGGAGCATACTTTTCATCAGTCTTTTTCTTCTCTCTGCTAATAGTGATGGAATTCAGAGCAGCCTGTTTATTTTCATGAGAACTTCTCCTATGGTATTTTGACTTAATTTTTGCCTTTTTATCTCCTGTCCTCACGAAATCACAAAACTCTGCAATATTCACATGCAGGTGCCTGGCATACATTATTGAGAACTGGTTCCCTTGTGGATCAGTTGTCTGAAGGCTGGAATTCAAGTTTTCTTGTGCATCTTAGAAGTTTCATTTGTTTGCTTTTTGCACAATTACTTGGAGGGCAGGAGAAGCATTTGGGTTCCTGGCTACACTGTCCAGAGCTGCCTTGTGCATTTATGCAAACTCTTTGTAACAATGAGAATTTTTCTAGTAATACATATTTCATTTTTAATTTCTCTTGGGGAGAAAAGTGTGAAGTTGCCAGTGATTCCCAGTGCTGTTGCTGATGCCCATTGATGTTGGTCAGTTCATTGCTGTCTGTCCTTACCTTGTCTGTGGAAGGTTTGGTGTTGGGACCTCGCTGTAACAAAGTCTCGGATGACATGACAGCACTTGTCTCCATTTTCTGTCTGCACCCTTCTTGTTTATGGGTCCTGATGGATAATTCCAACAACATGGTCCATGTCAAGGGTCTTGCACCTATTGCTGGTCTTTGTGTCTTGGTGTCACTCAGAGCAGAGCAGTGTCCCCTCTTCCTCCAGCCACGGTGCTTCATAGGTTCATAGCTTCCTTGCTCCTCAGTGTGGTGTAACCTGTTCCTGGCTGTGCTCCCTGGTGCTGAGCTCTCTCCACCTTGCTGGGGACTCAAGCTGGATTTCCAGCTGATGTTCCTGAAGGTTCATAGTGGAAACCAATCTGCAATCAGTTTCTCCAGGCCTGCTTTTTTTCATCATACTGACTTCTGTTTAGGATCTGTCAGTAGGGGACCACTAACTGGTTCAAGGATCATAACTAGCCATCAGAATGCTTTTTTCTCCATCTAAAAGATACCTTCTGACAGGCTGAATTGTCAGCCTTGTTCTCTACCTAGAGCCCCCAATCCTCATCTGCATTTCTAGGCCTGAGAAATCAGTTTTTCCCAGCCTGTATACTTGTACTTCCTAAAGCCCTGCCACTGGCAGGTCATAAATCCCCCTGGTGCTGTGCACTGGGAGTACACTGAGAAGAGGGTGAGGCATTGTGTACTGCAAAGTTTAAGTCCCATGTACTCCTTTCTCCTATGCTTATTGTAAGAGAAGTAGCAAAGAATGTGCAAAGTTAAGGAGAAATGGGCACTCAGTCATCTTTGTGTGAAGATGGTACAAAAATTGTTTTGTTTCTTGTTTTTACATTGGCAATTCAGCTCTTGTCTGCCCTGTTTGTTTTTTGTTCACTAGAGAATTAATACTATTATGACAGTGTAAGTAAAAGCTGATGAATTTCAACTTGAATTGCTTTTCCTACGAAATGTTTTAAGCAATCTGTATTTAGCTAACATTTATCTAACTCTACTCCCAACCAACAGTTGGAAGAAAAAAAATCTTTGCAGTTCAACACCTCCTCCTCTCCCTATTTCACTAGAAGCTGCAAAACCTCCCACTCTACTTCTCTAGATCTTCTGAGGAGACCTCTGCCAAAACACAACTTGATGTTGGATTCTTTTTTTTTTTTAAGTATGAAAAGCAGAAAACAAAATACTTCCAGCTTCTCATACACAAAGAATCAGAACAGGGCATGAGTCCAGCTTGTTTCCCAGCCTGTATTTCCTGAATGTGTACTCTCACAGAGGCAACCAAGGCTCTCTGCTACAGCTCTATCCACCAGCCCTGCTGCAGTTCTCTGTATCAAGCTATCTCCAATGTCACCCTATTCTTTAGGGTGGCATCAAAATTGGGACTTTCCCACGCTTCTGAATGTTTGGCACAAAGGAGATACTGCCTTTGTGAGCCTGAGACAAACTCCTCAGTGGTGACACCAGCCTACAGCAAAGACTCTGCTTCTTCCTTGCAGGCATTGTTTCTACACAGGCACTGACCATTTCTCATGCAATCTGTGGGTGTAAGAGGGTTTTTTTGAAGTAGAGCATGGACAGGCTTCCCAAGGCTTTCCCAGGAGGTGGCAGGCAGGGAGCATCTACCCCACAGTCTCCTGACAGGATCAGGGAGAGGCTGTGCTGGAGTGAAATGGGCTGTGCGCAGGGCTTGGGAGCAGGCCTCCTGTTCCACTGTGTGAAGGAAATGGAAGAGGCTCCCATTCCAGGCTCCCAGCCCAGGCTCCAGGCCAGCCTGAGGGCAAGGTCCCAGCTGGGACAATAGAATGAGCCCTGTGTGATGTCCCTGCCTGCTGTGGGGCTGTGCCAGGGTCCCTGGGCAGTGTGCAGGGCAGCAGCCTGCACAGGCAGGCCAGAGCCAGCAGCAGGAAACTGGAATGGCAGTCTTTTTAAAAGAGGTTCTTTTGCCTGTCTAGAAACTCTTTTTCCTTAAAACCTGCTGATCACTTGGGAAACTTCACTGCAGGCTCCTAACCCCTAGCAGCATCCAAGCTCTCTATTTTCCTACCACACATGAGAAGTTTAGCCAAGTCTGTTCCCATTGACATGTAGGCAGTGGCAGCTCTAAGAAGACCATCAGTTTTTACTTTTTTTTAAGTCCACAAGTTTCTTCACCTATAAGACCACAGCTTCTAGGAAGGTTGTTATCTCTTTCCAGACTTTACCTGCCACAAATGAGCAACAGCTCTGGTGTTTCACTGACATTGCACAACCTGTCTCTGCTCAGCCAAAGCTGCAGGTACAGTCTGGGACGGCTCAAAGCAGATTTGCCTGGGAGATGGGCTCACCCCCACCTTGTTTCCAGTCTCTAGACATCCTGAAGGATGTCATAAGATACATTCTTGCATGGGCAATCTCTGATTCATTCCTATGAATTGGCTTTACAAGCTCATTGTTTTGCTACAGTTGCCTCAAAGGGCAGCTGCAGCCATATTTTGACTGATGGTCAAGAAATACCAATATTTCCAGTTACCTCTTAACAAAGTGCTGTGAATTCAGCAGTCTATTATGAGACACTCATCAGGTGCTGCAAAGTAAAATGAAATCTTCAGTATCTGGTAAGCAGGGGAATGCAGAGACCTGAATTCAGCACATGTCCAATTCACCGGAAAATGAAATGTCAGCATCCCCTGCTCTTCCAATTTCTCCTCAAATACCCTTTGATCCCACTATGTGAAACCTGCTTCAAGCTTGACTTCTTTTGCAACTTCTCCACAAGCAATATGCAACCTAACAGACATCTCACATCCAGGGATGTCCCAGGACAGCTCAGATGCCAGTCTAATGCCTCCAGGCTAAACACACAAATCTGAACAGAAATGTCATTACTTTAGGAAGCATATGTGAAACCCCTCCCATCACTGATAGCTTACACCAGTGGTAGGACCTTTCTTCCCCATCACAAAGGCTGCACAAAGAGCCCCTCTCCAGAAATGCTTCCTGTGAGTTTGCAGGTTGGAGGGGGTGGCTGCTGCTTTCCTGAGTTGATTGTTCTCTGGAAATCACCTTGGTAACTACAATAGAACAACAGTCCTGGAGACCTGTTCTTTCTGAGCAGCTTGTAAAGTAAAACTTGACAGCTTGCAAGTCAAATGTTGGGATTCCTGATCGGTCCTGCCTGCTGGGAAATAGAGGGAGAGATAGGACACTGAGCCTGTGCATGGCCTGAGGTCATCCTGCCTACTATTAGTCACCAAACTGTGGTCTTCAAAGTAGGAGCAGGGTTCCTTGTATAGCTGGGAAAGAGAGAGGGATCCCCCTCTGGCTGTGGTGCCCTGCTCAGCCCTTATCCTGAACCACCCAAAGCACTTGAGGGAAGACAGGATCTCTGCACATCCACCTTCCCTGGGAGCAGCCTGGAGGTGATGGATGAGTGTGTGGCTGCATTTCTCACCACACTGCCCGTGGTGTGCTGTGAATTGAATTGTCATTAACCTTTGCCCTGTTAACTGCTGCTCCTTTATCTTAATTACACACACAGGAGCTGCTGGTGCCTTACAGAGCTGTACACAGTGCTGACAGAGCATGGGGCTGCTGTGCACTCCAGCTGGCCTGAAACCAGAGGGAAGCCCTTCTTAAACAAAATCAAGCCCTTTAAAAGCAGAGGGGACTAGAAAGCTCTGAGAAGTAACCAAGCTCTCTGGCTTTGATGAGAGATTTTGTCCTGGACCAAAGGAGAAACTTCATCAAAATTTTTAATAATCCCCACCAGCAGTGGAGCATTTGCTGGGAAGATGGTGTTCCATGAGCACAGTATGTGCTTTGTCAGTTCTTGGTTGCTTAATTTTAATATTTTATTGAGTAACTCAGATTCTCCCCTCTTCTGCCTTTAGGATGATGTACTGTGAAGGCAGAATGATGTGGAGACAGATGGAGGGAGGGGAACTTCTGTCTGACCGTGTCATTCTTCACCTCTTGACTTTCTCTTTTCAAGAAAAAAAATCAGTTTAAAACAAAAAGTGCTGCTTAGTCCTTTTTGTCAGAAACACCAGTATAAAACCTTGTTCTTTTTTAAAACTTCTTGTCAGCTGGAATTGGCATCTTGACCTTGCCACCTCCAGTCAGGCTCCTGGAGTCAAATGGGTGACCTGGCTTTGCCTCAGGCCAGGTTTGGGCACCTGTGAGCATCAGGGGATGTGGATGATGTCTGCAGAGGTGACAGAGGTGTAGCTGAGACCACTCCATGTCCCTAGAGAAGCCAAGTGTGAGAAGGGCTCAGGACTGCAAAGCACCAGGGCAGGCAGTAGGTGTGTGGTGCCAGGTGGTGCAGGAGGAAGTAACTCAGGGATAATTAACCTTATGCAATGAGGCTGAAAGGCAATGCACAGAAAACTGCTGAAGGGAAAGAGTCTTTCCCTGCTGTATGGGTTGGGGAAATCATTATCTCAGGGCTGTGGGGGCAAGTGTGAGAGCTGAGCAGGTAGGCTGCTGCCCCTCATCCCTGCTGCTGGGGCCAGGTTCAGGCTAGATGATAGGGGAATCCATTTGAAAGCATTTTTATTTTCTTCCATGTACTGGAGAATACACAACTGATACTGAATTCTAAAGGTTTCCACACAAATCGCTCTCACTGAGGCACAACTTCTGAGATTCAATTGCAGTGTGGGAAGGCAGTTTCCTGGGATTTGCTGGTAAGGTCAGCAGTCACTGGAATGGCAGACCTAAGCAGTGCTGCTGTGTGGCTGAGCTGGGGCAGGCTGGGTGACCACAGCTCCTGGCACATTGTCACACTGCTCTGCCCCCATCCTGCGGCCTGGGGGAGTTTAGGGCGACGCTCCCTTCCCTGCTGACATTCCAGCTGGGTGCAGATGGCACCAACTTGTCCTCTGGTTAACAGGGAAGGTCATGTCTGGGCACTGTTTCAGGCTCTCTGCAATTCCCAGTTGCTTTAGCAAATGGAACAGCTTGAGAATGATGTTTCCATTACAACTTGGGCTGCTAAAATAGCTGTTTCCTGATGGCCAGTGGAGGCAGGGCAGCAAGTTGGGGATTAATCCACAGTGTTTGAGAGGGTTGCATTTTAATTTATTTTATTATTTTGTTTTATATTTTACTCGATTTGAAGTTTTGGGGTTTTTTTTCTGCAGTCTCCTAACATTTTGTACTTGCTTTTACAGGAATGTGACAGAGCATTTTAATGTTAATGGCAGACTTGGAATGGAGATGTATGACTGGGCATGGCTCGTGCACAGGCAAAGCTGGTTCAAAAAACCCCAGAGGTAAATCAAGCATGCGAAATTTGAGATTTTGTAAAAAATTTGGCTGAGTTTGCAAACAGTATATCTAGCTCTATAAAGACTTAAGGTTTTTTTTGGTTGTCAAAATAGCTCAACCAGATGGCAATAGGCTATTTTTGAACTTCAGTTACATAATTTTGCTAAATATTTTTCCTTTCTCCTCCAATTCAAAATTATCTGTAACTCAGACTGTATTGGTGCTGTGTATGGCAGTCTCCTGACAGAAAGGCATTCCTAACGTGTTCCCTGTGTTTGGGGCAGCCAGGGCCAGGCTGCCTGCGAGGGGAGAGGAGCCAGGAGCTGAGATGGCCCCAGCTGGGATGAGCCCTCCCCAGAGTGGTCCCCAAGGACCCAAAAGAGGGACAGATGGTTGTGGCACCCAAGCACAGCAACACCAAGGAGGCCAGGTCAGGCAGAGTGTGGATGAGGGTTCCAGGTGAGGAAATTAAGGGCCAGGAAGGAGTTTTGGTGCCCAGGGAGGAGGTGCAGGGACCATTCAAGGTATCTAAGGGGAGCAGCAGTGCTTGGGAGAAGAGGAGGTGATAGATTTGCAGTTAAAAAGGTCCCAGAGGGGTCAGTAAATTTAACCAAAGCAGTGGGACACTTTAGGGGAAGACATGAAGCTGTTTGTGCTCCTCACACCATTCTCCTGCACCAGAGTATGATGGATTTTAGAAGAAAAATTATTTTGTTCCCTTAGTTTTAACCATCCATTGCCACAACTGGAATGGTGAGAAGGGAAGAAACTGCCCTTTTTAAATCTTGAAGTGACAGGACTGCAAAGCTGCAACTGGAGCAAGCCTTGCCTGAGAGCATAAGGGCCTGCTGACAAGGTAGAAATCACACTTCTCTGAAAACAATGTAAATAGCTTTTAAAGAGCTTTATTCCTCTTTGAGAGACCTCAGTTTAAAACTCAATTGCATTTTAAAGGAGAAGCTTAAAATAAGTTTTAATAAATACCAGTTAAGGACTGTTTTCTGAATTTTGCTTTAATAATGTAAAAAAAAAATTAATGTTGCCAGCATCCTATTACTCCATAAAAATAACCAGAACTCATGATAAAACAAAGAAAAATTGTAACTGTTTTTCCCTCTTCCTAGTAATATTTTCCTGTGGACTTGGTCATATGCATACTTTTGTCATGGGTTCCCACTTCATCACAGAGAACACCAAATAACTCCTAGTTCTAGACCAAGTTGGAAAAAGTACTAATAGATGATTTTCCAACAGAAAAATTAATTTTTTTGCAGGAACATAATTTTTTTAATGACTATATCTTGATAATCTTACTGATATTGCTTGAATTAAATTGCTGAGGATAGAGAAGAGGTCAGAAGGGCTTTGTTCTCAAATTTGGCTTTTATATCAAAACAGATGCCTTAAAATTCTTTCTTGAGAATTTGACTCACATTTTTGATTGAAATCTGGCCTATTTTTGAGATTTTTAAATAGGATGTTTGCTGTGAAGAAGAATTTTGGTTTCCTGCCCAGTACTGACAAGGTGTCAGGTGTCTCAGTTGTAACTTCTTCACAGCAGTGCTCCTGTATCATCCCCTTGTGATGGCTCCTGGTCATGGCAGTACAAACCCTGTTGGTCTTTGGATCAGTGAGCAGGGGCCTCCTTTAAGGCATGGGCTCAGTCTCAATTTCTCCCCCTCTCTGGGTGCCCTACAAGGTTGCCTTTCCCTTCTGTGTACTTGTGAGTTCAGCCCTGCCTCGAGTGCTCCTGACACTGATCTGCACTGTGGTAACACCTTGATAGGGCCAAGAGCTCCAGGACACCAACCACCTTCTGTGAAGAGCTCAGGGAGGGAAGTCTCCTGAAGTTATTTGTAGCAAGGGGGAAGACAGCCCTTTCTTTTCTTTATTCCTTTAATTTTTCTTTCCTTTTTCTTCAAGCGAACCAAAATAAGTGCTTCTATACACAAATATTTCTGCAGTATCACCATACAGAAGGAGAGGGATGGGTGGCTCAACCCAGCCTACTTAGCCCAAAAGAATAACAATTTTTTTGGGTTGTTCTAATTTCTTAAAATATTTTGATTTGGGATTAAAGCCAAAAACCCTCAGCTATTTTCTCAGCCCTAATTTGAGCTCACAGGAGTGGGGTGTTGCCTCTGTCTACTGGAAAGAGAGATGATTCATCAACCTACAGAAGTCTCATTGCTCAAATCTCCTCAAAACATGTCTCTGCTGTCACCCACAGTGTAACATTACCCCACAGCACACATCCTGTGTGGATCTGCCAGTCTCTCAGGGTTGTCTGCCTCCTTCCTATCTGTGGCACTACTGCCCCTGTGCATGTTGGGCAGTGTTTGTGTTTGCACACCAAGAGAGCTGAGGGCATGGCAAAGTGACGACAGCTGGGAAAGTCCTGTCTGGATCTCTGGCTCTGTCCTCTCTCCTTTCCATCATTTTCTGTAGTTTCATGGCTGTGCTGGCTGCTGGCTCACATCTCACAGGAGCACAGATAACTTCTGCAGCTGACTTGGCTCCAAAAGTTGCCCCAAATCCATGGCAGCCACACCTGCAGGGATTTCCCACTAGAAAGGAGGCAGCTAGCCCTGGTCCCACTGCTGGCACACCACAGCTGCAGAACCAGCTGAAGCAAAGTGGTTTTGCTGCTTTTCCAGCTCTCCTTCCTCCTTTGAGCCAGCTGGAAGGTGAACCAGCTATAGGAGCTGCCTGTAGACAATGTCCCTAGGCTGTAATTCAGAAGGGCCAGGATGTTCAAATAAATGAATACCTGACTTGTCTGAGCCTTGACAAGGTGGGAATTGCTAATTACTTTGAGGAGAGAGCCTTCAGAAGTGCACTGCTGTGAGTTTACAGGGTGCAGAACCTTTTTCCTCCAGGCCTACAAAGTTTCTTCAGTCTCATGGATATGGGCTGGGTCTTCTGACAGCTCACAAATGTGCCATTTTCCAAGGCCACTGGTATGCTCAGAGCTGGTCTGGAATTACCCAGGAATAGCTTTTTCCATAGCAGTTACCTGGTTTTATGTATGAGACATTTTATTTTGTGTTGAATGTCCTATTTTGTTTTAACATAAGACACTTGAGTTGAGATATTTAAGAATGGGGATTGCACTTACAAGTAGCACCCTTCTTGAATCTGAATTGTCTTTCAAGTGTAGGCATGACCCAAAAATCAGGCTAGGAGCCAGTGGGGATGGTTGCCCCAGAGGGAAGCTTTTGCTGTAGCAGGACTGAGCTGTGCTGGTGGGGTTGGATCAGTGGTGTTTGCTGTCAGAGGGAGAAATAGAGGCTTTCATTCACAGTGATGGTAAAGGAGAAGTCTTTCACCAGCTTCAGGGCTATGCTAATTTTTTTCAGAAGCCTTTTTTTTAGCTCTGTCAGGGGTTACTGATGAGAAGATGAGCTCAGTGCAGTGATTTACTGAAGCAGTTACAGGCAGAGCACGGCTGGTTGCTCCTGGTCTCAAAGTCCATCACCCAGGTGTCCTGGGCAGTGACAAACTTGTGTTAGACCTGGTCTGAAATAAAGCTAATGCAGCTGGAGAGCTGTTCTGGCCCTGTACCTACAAACTGGGAATGCAATTCCCCTGGCACAGACACACTCACAGGTTTGGGCTGGTAGATGACTTTTCTATTTTTTATCAAGGGGAGGCTCTTAATTATTTTTCGTGTGTCCATTTAAACCTCTAGGTGAGAGGAGAAGACTGCTTATTTTTCAGCTGTGAGAAAGGGGATACCTTCTCCTTGGTGAGGATGTGTGTGGCAGCAGCAATCAGTATCTGTCTCTGTCAGGTCAGCAGCAAAACAAGAGACTGAGCTGTGCCATGAAGACAATGGCTGGAAAGGTGCTGAGACTGAATGTGGTCTGTATTCTGTCCCCTCCCAAACACAGGAGCTGTCAGTCAGTCCTTTGTGGAGAGGTATGGCCAGAAAGCATCACAGATTTTTAGTCCCAGGAAGGGACAGAGCAGAGGAGAGACCCAGGATCTGTATTAATGACGGCCCCAGGGGGTTGCTGGGTCCTCATTAGAGCAAGTGCTGATATTCTCATGCTTATGGTGATGTCTGCTCTTTCATTCCTCCATCAGCAACACCTCCCACACCAGCTGAGCTCAGTGTCCTGGAGAAGGGAGTTCTTGAAGGTGAGGTCAAGGTAATTTCAAGAGATGCTAAAAGAAAAAGTAAGGGCAGGCTGGCAGCCAGGAAAGGAAAATTGGCCCTATTGTTAAAGGAAGAAAAGAACATCAGAGCGCTTTTAAAATGTTGGGAGTGGAGTATTGCTGTTTGCTCTTTGCTTATTGAGTAGAATTGGAGGGACATTTGCCTTAAATATACCTTCCATAGCAATACACAGAAACATGCTTTTTAGTGTACTTTAAACACAAGTTGTAATAGTCTCTGGATAAAAAGGCAGTCATTATTTCTTCGAGCACACTCTCTACTGACGACCAAATGTTCCAGTGTGGCAGACTGGTGGCTTTAAAAATAGCTGTTCACTCCCAAGGCTCTGAGCATGGCTGGGAGGTAAATTAAATGTTTGACTGTGAGAAGTCATTGATGTGGTCCAAGCGCTGCAGCCAGCAAATCCTCATTTCACTGAAGCCAGTGGAAACACAAGGCAGTGGGAAAAGGTTGCAGAAAGAGAGGGTTTGGGTGTCTTCAGGAAGCTCCAAGTCTTTTGGGAGCTGTATTAAAAATCATTACTTGCTGAACTGTTAAAAATCCCAGAAAACTGGGTGGAAGGGCACTGTCAAAATGCCTTCTTGGATGCCATGGCTGTGCCATTTCTTAAAGTACTTATCCAATTTCTTGTTAAATATCCAGAGACAGAGGCCCCACATGCCTCTGCTCAGCAGCTCCAGCTGCACCAACCCAAACCTCTGCTGGGTTGTGTGTGAATCTGCCCTGTTGTAACTTGAGCACATTATTTTTGTCCTATCCACAGCTGTAATGGGGGGAAATGTATTTTTTTCTTTTCTTCACATCCTTTGAATTCTTCTTCCCTTCTCCAGAAGAACATACCCACCTCTTCTGACCTTCCCAAGGTCAAGTTGTGGTTTTGGGTCCTTGCTCACCCCAGCTGTTGTCTCCTCTGAACTCCTTCCAGTGAATTAAAGACCTTAAAATGCCTCCCAGCTGAATGCAGTAGTTGAAGCTAAAATTTTACTGATGTTAACCAGACTTGAATTACTTCATGTGTCTTATCAGCTGCAATCCTGTTGTATGTCACAGTAGAGTATCTGGCTTTTTTACAACAGCAATGTTGATTTACAGTCAAGGTGTGACCCACTAAAACCTTCAGGTCCTTTCCTACCCAGCTGATACCAAAGTAGCTTCTTATCTCCCATAAGCAGGAAAGCCTTTTCCTTCCTCTAGTTGAGAGTTCAAATTTGTCCTAATTGAATTTCATCCTACATTTTTCAGAATATTTATCTTTCTAATGATTTTCAGGGGGTAACTTAACACTCATTTATGATCCAGCACGGATTTGCCTGTCCCATGCTGGAGCTATTTGCAAATATAATAAGGATCTTTTCTATCCCAGCTCCCCACTACTCCCACCCTGTGCCCTGGACATGGCACTCCAGCATCAGTTTGTTCTTCATCCTGGATTTGATACACATATATTTTCCAATGGAAACATACTTGTGAAGTAACTGTGACAAAAGGGAGGGCACTCACTGGAAAGTTTCATTTTTGGCAAAACAGCAATTTCATGAGAAATTTCAGGAAATGTGAAACTATTGATTTTGTCTCCAACTGTCAAATTTCAAAATAAAAAAATCTTCTTTTTTTTCCTTTCAGTCAAGTTTTTCTTTTCCACTCCCTACCCTCATCACCACCTCCTCTCAACTTTTCCTCCATATGCTTGCCAGGGAAAGTACAATGTTCAGATTTTTTTTCCAAATCTTCCTTTTTCCACTGTCTAACCTTTCAAGACTTCAGTCTGAAAAAGTTAAAGAATGGAAGAAAACCCTGTGTAAACAAAAATTGCTGTTTTTTCTAGGGCATGTGTGGAACCACTGTTGTGCAGGGGCACAAGGAGAAGAATCCTAGTTAAGAAAAACTAACATTAATGTCACTCAGTAGCCAAGAGCAAGCACCAGGGAAGAAGGGAAAGCACTGCAAAAGCAAAATGCATTAAAACGCTGGAAAAAGGAGATGTTCTGCTCTGAGTTGGCAATGCCTAAACACATTCACCATCTGAAAAGGGTTGAAAATCTCCCTTCTTCCTGCCTTCCTTTGCCCAGGGCAGGTTTTCCTGATGGGCTGTATCTCCTCAGTCTGGTTCTGCTTCTCATGGGGGTGCCACAGGCAGGTCTGAGGCCCTCTGTTGCTTTCTGTCCCATCTCTGTAGGACTAGATACATCATTTTCATACCATAGCAGCAGTAAGAATTTTCAGTGAACATACCACAGGATGAAAGCCAATCCTTTTTTTTTTTCTTCCTTAACATTTCATGCAAAGAGCCAAGAAAGAACTGATTACAAAAGTACAAGGGATAAACTCTTCCATAAATTAAAAAAACAGCACTATTACTTTTGGAGAGGGCACAAATTGTGACTCAGAGCAGGACTGCTGACTGGAGTTCAGCTGGCCAATGTGTCATCCCAGAGAGCAGCAAGGCTGCTTCTCTCATCTGCTGGATAATCCCTCTCCCTGCTGAAGGCAGTAATTAAGGGCCATGTTTTCAGCAGCCCGACAAAAATAGGTTTGTTTGACTGCAGGAACTGGACAAATTGCAGCATATGTAGGTAGCACCATGGCACAAATACTGATTTTCCACATGCACCCAGAGACACTGAGGGCTTATTCTGGGTGAGCCATTGCAGATGTGGCTGGAGCTGCCTGCATGCCCTGCTCCAGAGGCTGCAGCTGTGCCTCCAGCCCACGTCCCACAGGGAGCACTCACCACGCTGTCCTGGCTCCAAGGATGACTGGAGGGGGTGGCAAGATTTCAAGACCCTCTTGCCACATAGAAACAGGAAGAAATTCATTACAGTGAGCATGGTGAGGCCCTAGCACAGGTTACCCAGAGAAGCTGTCATGTCCCATCCCTGGAAATGTTCAAGGACAACCTGGATGGGCCTTGGAGCAACCTGGCTTACTGGAAGGGGTCCCTGGCTATGGCAGGGGTTGAAACAAGATGATCTCTAAGACGTCTTCCCACCCAAACTGTTCTGTGATTCTATAATTCTTCAGGTCTTGGACACAAGGCAGCTGTTTCTTCCCACTCTCCCATTATTTCAGCCTTGACTGTGACTGGAAACCAGAAGAGATTGCTCAGGGAGGTGGTGGTGTTTCCATCCATGGAGATATTCAGGACCTGAGTGGCCCTGAGTAACACAATTTCAGTGCCCTGGCTGTGGCTGTTGCCCTGCTGAAGGCTCACTGCCAGATCTGTGGCTGTTCCCAGGGCTTATCAGACAGTGAAGATCATAAGCTCTGGGCTTTTCTGACAATAAACAACTTGAGTTTCCACAACCTTTTCTTTTCAAACAAACTGATGCATTTTATGATGGCTGTTGATAAACTGCACTTATTTCAGTGTTGTTGGAAATGCCCTGGTGATTTTTTCTTCATGTCACCATTAGAAATAATTTGTTTTCCTTTTCTAGGTAAGCAAGCACAAACGTGACTCTCCCATCTCTGTCTTCAGATTTGGAATAATCAAGTTAATTACTGACATTCTTTATAACACTTGGTATTTTCAGCCTAAAGACATTCTAACCTCGAAGGCTCTGAACACACAAGGACAGTGGAGAGGCTGCTCCATTCTCAGGTAGACCCTGATGAAGGCACAGTTAAAAACAAAAACTTTAAATATTCTGCTTCATTTAACTATCTCAACAAAAATCTGTTTATCACATGGAAAACATTTTGTAAAGTTCCTTAAAGGTTTGCCCAATGTTTTGGGCATATTTCTCTTTTTTTCTTGCTGAATGAAGACCTCATCCTCTCACTTCTCAATCTGATGGAGCTGGAGATTTGGGATAGATACTCACATACTAATTGTGCAAGACAACATTTACTGAATAACCTGCAGCAAAGAGGGAAGTGATTGCAGACATCTTTATTGTCTGCTATTAATTGGTATACCTGTTGCACAGACCTGTTGGTACCACTGGATGTAGCAGTGAAAGATGAAATCATGGTAATTGCAATCTCCCCTCAAGCTATCATTTAATTTACATTTTAATTAATTTATGTTGAAGCAATTAAAGGCATGAAGGAAAGAACGTGCCAGTGTCAATTAAGGACTGTGAGTCAAAGAGGAGAGTTTGGTTCAAGACAAAGTTAATTTAAAAAGAATACTTTGTAATTTACAGTTCTGTCTATGTGACTTTTCTAAATTCTTTGGAAGCTTGAATAAAAGAAAAGAAAGTTCTAGAATCTTGGCCATTTTGAGAGATCAGTGGCTTCCTTAGTTTTCAAATGGAGAAACTGAAGCAGAGAGCATTTGAACACCAGTTCTTTGAGCCCAAGGATGAAAACCACAGCAGAGCTGGAAATCAGATCCTGAACTGTAGAGCAATCCAGGTATCTTCCTTACAAGAGCATTCTTCCAACTGGCACACAAAAAGGAATTATGAAAGACATGTTTTTGTGAGCAGGGTGATGTCTTTGCTGCACAGATCTCATAACCTGGCCTTTGGCTACTCAGCCATTTGGTGCTCTCAGAAAGTGGCTGTTAATGATAGCCTTGCTAGGTCTTGTGACTTTAATATTCATTGTTTTCTTAAAATCTCAGGTCTTAGATGCAGAAGCTTCATTTCTTTTTAAATGAAACTTAAAAGAACTTAAATCTATCTTTGAATCACACCCAATATAGCATATCTTGACTTTTCCAAGCCATCTCCACAGTTCTGAAGGACAGATTTGGGACTTTCAGTGTTGCTGCTGAAACACATCAAATGGGAATGAGCCTGGAGGTGCTGAGCTGCTCTGAGCAGTTGGCAAGAAGTGGATGCCCCTCAAACAGGGGGACAGCAATGCTGACTTCAGCTGTTTGGGCAATAGATTGGTTCAGCTCTGAGTGCCATAGTGGGAAAAGAAAGCAGCTGGGTTTGCTGTAATGTGAAATACAAACATCTGAGAATTAGGTGCTTGCACAGCAGCAGCAAATGCAGGAAACTGCTTACACTGATGAGGAGACTCGGTCACCAGGAGGGATCAGGCTAAATCTGTGCTGAGGTGCAACAAAGATATGACAAGAGATTTATGGTCTTTTCATAGGGAATTGACTGTTCCCCTATTATACTCCTATAAATTGTATAAGGGAGGGCACAGGGCAGAGAGTTTTCTGTTTGCTTGATACAGACAGGGATAGCACACAGTCCAGCCTTGGAGGTGATGAAGAGAGAGGGCTGATCCCCAGGGAGCACTGGTCTCCATGTGGGAAGATGCAGCTGGGCTGGAGAAACTCAGGGGGAAAAGCCATCTTTGCAGCAGCAGTCTGAACTGAAAAAGTAATTTACTTCTATGTGGACTAATTGTGATTTTTTTCTACACTAAAGGGGTTTCTGTTCTCTTCTGCTCACAAAACCTGGCTCTCAAATTTTGTGTATTTGTAGAGCTCAGGGTGAGGAAAAGGGCAGGGTGAGTCCCTCCAAGATTTATCTGACTCATGCCTATCATGAGAGGCACTGACACCAGTGGAGACAGGTCTGACAGGGGTGGCCAGGAGCCCCATGAGCAACCAGGCTGCAAGGACACTTCTGCCACCAGCATGGACATGGTCAGAGCTGGCTTGGACACCCTGTGTGTGCTTGCCAGGACACAAAAACTCCAGCCTCTGGGGAAGGCAGCATGTTCATGCCCTCACAGGGGGCTTGCAGAGCCATGGGTGTAGGAGCTAACCCTCTTTTCCTGGTGTTCCTCCCTGCACTGTACCTGCAGGGAGCACGTCTCCATCCTTCCCTGCTGTTCCTCGTGGCAATTGCACTGGAACTCAGAAGGATGATTTGTCTCATTTCTTTAACCTTTCACCATTGTAGAAGGAACTTTTGAAAACAGCTTTTTACATTTTAGTAGGGCTTGGAATTTTTCTGCTCCTTTTGCCATGCCTTTTTCAGTGCATGCAACAGGCCATGAACAAGGCTGCAAAAAGAGGTGTTCTTGGTGCGAACAGGAGGGGGAGAGAAGCAAACAGGAGGGGCAGGCTGCAAGTTCTCCACTAGAGTTTGCTCCCTGCCTCCTCACAGAGCCTCAGGGACAGTGCATCCCTGCTGAGCCACTGCCTGGATGAGGCTGCTCTGGCTGCTGTGAGCCTCCAGCCCAGGAGCATTTCCACACCATTATCGCCAGAGATTGGGGCATTCCCGAACCAGCCCTGGGCTGGGGAGAGGCTGTGCTTTACCTTTACGGCCCTGCAAAAAGCTGCTGAAAGCAGGAGACTCCCGGCTGGGAAGGAATAGGGACAGGAGCAGCTCCCTGCGTCCCTTGGCTGGTGGCAGCGCTGGAAACAGAGCCCGTGGTGGCTGAGCTGGGGACACGTGGCACCAGCTGCTGGGGGGACAGCAAGGGAACCGCAAGGAGCAGCCAGGGAGACGATTGTCTTTGTCCTGCAGGGAGGAGGTCGAGTGGAAAAAACCACGAGAGATGGGATGAAAATCAGCAAGGAGAACAAGGTTCGTGGGCCAAATCTGCCGCAGCTGCCAATGTCATCAACGCAGGGCTGGCGGGAGCCACCCTTTCCAAACACGGCAGAGGACGTTGGATGCTCTCCCAGAAGCACTGCTGCAAACCCACCCAGAACGCTCACGACGCAGGCAAAGAGAAATATTATTCTCATCTTTTAAAAATACAAAGTCTGATAAGATATCAAGGAAATGGTGCTGGTTCTGCCCTGCTCCCGCTGCCGGGGGATGCAGCACGTTACCCCAGCCTGGGGACAGAGACTCAGATGTTGCACTGAGTGTGGCAGGCCCAGGACTGAAGGGATGATGTCTCCCAGGGAGCTGCTGTGACAGTGAAGGCAGAGTGGGATGCATGGAGGCCCTTGGATCGTCCTCCTGCAGAAGCAGAGCTGTGGTCTGGCCTTGCCACAGTGACCATGAGCTGCCTGGTGGCCAGGCCTGGCCTTGCCACAGTGACCGTGAGCTGCCTGGTGGCCAGGCCTGGCCTTGCCACAGTGACCATGAGCTGTGTGGGAAACAGGCCTGGCCTCACCACAGTGACTGTGGCCTTGCCACAGTGACCGTGAGCTGCCTGATGGCCAGGCCCGGCCTCGCCATGGTGGCCATGAGCTGGGCAGCTCCTCCTGCTGCCAAGTACCCACTCCTGACTCAGCTCAGGTCCTCACCCTGTCATCTGAGACAGCCCCAGGACCCTCCTGCCAGAGAGAAGCTCAGCTCCCGCATCAAGGCAAGCCAGACATGGGAACTGAGCATTGGCTTGCAGCATCCCTCAGTTCACCCCTGGGTTTTAAGCCACAAAAAGCCCTGCACTGCCAGGCCCTGAGCTGCAGGAGATATTCCCAGACTTTCCTCCTCCCATGCTGTCCTGCCCATCACTTCCAAGCTGCCTGTGGAGAGATCCCTGTGTTTCCCAAGCTCCAGATGTTGTAAGCACTGACACTTGTTCAAATCTCTCCCTGCAGATCATTAACATGGGAGAGCAGTTTTGTGAGGAGAGGTGAAAATTTTATTAATGTTCTTTTCATGTGGAAATTATACTTCTTCTCCATAGTGTGAGTGATGAAAGAGAACAGCTGTGTCAATAATCCATAATGGGAGAGAAAAAGAATTGTTAACAGCCATATTGGCTCTTAGAGAATGTTCACAGGCTTAGTTAGAAGCTGGCTGCTCAGCATTAAAGTATTGAGGGGGTGAGGGGTACAGGTGTCTCAGAGCATCCCCCAGCCACTGCAAGGCACATGTGAAACTGAGCTGCAGGAGAGTCCTAAAAGGTGAGGCCAAAGTGTCAATGAAGATCAGAGATCAGATGCCAACCAAGATTTCCTGACTGGGAGTTGTGGAATGCAAAAGGCGCTCATCGATGCTGCTGAGAAAGTGTTGCTTATGGAGGAAAAGGAGCAGATGAGGGCAGATGTCACTGAAGGAAGAAAGACAAATGTCTGGGGAAATCTCATGCAAGAGGTTTATCCTTGTGCTGGCCAGAAGGTTCTGAACAATAAGTACCAGTACAGAGGTAAAGAGCAGTGGCTGCTTGGTCCTGCAGGGACAACAGCCTGCAAAAGGGAGCTGAATTCATATTCCCTGCAATTGCCTTGTGCAAGTTGAGGAGGATTTTGAAAATAACTGTATATTTTTTTGCCTTTCAGATTTTTCAGCTCCATATTTACCCATTTTCCCTGAAATGCTTATTACCCTTGCAGTAGATATTCCTTTTTATTTACTCCTCCTACAATTCCAGAGGAATAAGAATTGCTTACATTAGAGTTCAGCTTGTTTTTTCACTGCTTTCTTTAGCTGAGAAACCTTAGAAGCACTTTCCTAGGTGAAATACTGAAGCTTCACATTTTTGGTAAGTTGGCAGGTGTCACAGAAAGTTTTATTCTGAAATGTAGTGACATCAAATTAAAAACATCATCTCTCTGACATCTAAATGAATGCTTTCCATGCAATATCCAATGTGATTATTCCAGAGAGGGTAGAGAGAAAACATTTCTATGTTCTTTTCATTTTTTGTGAAAATCCCTCATGACCCTAATGCCACAAGTTTTCCATGTGGTTTTCTTCATATCTTATACAGTGAGATATGCATAAGATAACATAAGATATCTTAAACATCCAAAATCTCAAAAAATTAATGGTTCTTCCTCTAGAAACCTCTGGTTTTTCCCGCTGACTTCAAAGAGAATAGCCTCGTGTTACCTGGCATATCACCAGGGTCAGGGAATGAGCAAACAAGGTGGAAGGAAGCCCTCCCTGCCCACAGGTACATCTGAAAACTTTGTTTTGTGTGTCCTGTATATTTAATGGAGCAACTTGGAGGCTCAGAGTTATTTGTTGTGATAGTTAAGCTGCTCAATGCTCCTTTGGGCAAGTGCATAGCATTTCTCCTTCATCTGGGAGGAAGGCAGGAGCCCTTCAGAGCAGAATGGTAGAAATTAAGAAGCTCGTCAAAGATGGCACTTGATTAGAGACCCCTTAATGCCCTATCCTCTGCATTTGACGTGGGCAATCAGGAGAAGGTGTTGCCAAGGCTACAAGATATTGTCAGTCTGCCTTCCAGGTCCTCTGTGGCTTCTCTGCTCCCCCTAATTGTGCCCACTCGTTCTGTTTAAATACCATCTGCCTCAGCTGCAATTTGCACAAGTATCTCAAGGGGCTTTACTCCTGATTCTC